TAATGCACATATACAGAAACTCTTAAAAATGAACCAGTGCTAGAATAACTAAAAAGGATGCGCTGCTGTTTGCCTGCTGGCAATGCCTTTTGTACAGATCTGTTGTTGTTTTTTTTTTTTACCACCTGCACAGCTTATTTATATATGTAAATCTTAAGTAAAAAGTGATACTAAACATCAGTTTAAGAACCTATAAACCTAAAATAAATTAGCACTTAAAATAAAATTAACCTAAAACCATCATTTCTTTCTTGTCCATTGAGGGACGCATTAGGTATTTAACCTTCAGGTTATGCTGTTGCCTAGAGGAAGATTGGACACTGGTAAACTAAAAATTGTAGCCCAGCCCAGGATAACCCCTTATTATATCAGCATCCCTCAGTTGTTTGCTAGAGTCTTAGGAGGATGACATCTTTTTTTACAGCTTGCTGTGTTAGGAATAACTGATTTGTTTTTTATAGTTTTGTTTTTCAGTTTTTTTCTTCTATCACAACTTTTCTCTGCATTGTCACTGGAGCTTTGTCTCTACAGTTGCAGGTCTCAAGCATGGGTGTCCTCAGCCTAGCTTTTGGAGTACCAAAACCCTTCTCAAACTGGATTCAAAAAAATAGCCTGGAAGTGACTTTCAGGCACTGGGTTCCACATAGGTCACTTTTCAGACTTCCATGTTTTTTACATTTAGTGAGTAGGCCACTTGGGGTGATTTTGAGAACTACTTCAGTTACATGTGTCTTTGGGTGCCATTATTGCCTGTCTCTGCTGATTCTGACATGGAAGTGGTTAACACAGGGACTGTGCACTAACATCATCTGCTGGGTGACAATGTCTATTACAATGTTAAGGAAACATCTCTCTGATGCTGCTTCTGCTTGCAAAGAGCCACAGTGAACTTTGATCTTTGGTCTGCTCCTGCTGCCCACTTACTGTGACTTTGGTCACCTTCAGCCATCTGAACTTCGGCTGCTGACAACTATCTGGGTTTTCTTAGTACTTTGCCTTTTACCCTTTATTGTAACATTGTCTAATTTCAGATATTACATAGTTAATCTGGCTGAAAAAAGACAAAAGTCTATCCAGTTCAATCATTAAAATAATAAAAAAAGTTATCCTATACTCACAGTTGATCTAGGGAAAGGCAAAAAACCCCAGCAAAGGATGACCAGATTTGCTACTGCAGGGAAAAAAAAATCCTTCCTGATCCCCTGAAAGGCAATTGGATATTCCCTGGATTAACTTTACCTATAAATGTTAGTGTCCAGTTATATTCTGTGTATCTAGGAAATAATCCAGGCCTTTTTTAAAGCAATCCACGTAGCTGGCCAGAATCAACTCTTGAGTGAGTCTATTCCACATTTTCACAGCTCTCACTGTGAAGAAACCTTTCCGTGTTTGGAGATTAAATTTCTTTTCCTCCAGATGTAAAGAGTGCCCCCTTGTCCTCTGTGATGACCTCATGTTGATCACATCCCCCTTAATCTCCTATTCTCAAGAGAGAATAAATTCAGTTCCTCTAATCTTTCCTCATAGCTGAGCTCCTCCATTCCTCTTATCAGTTTGGTTGCCCGTCTCTGTACTTTCTCCAGTTCCCCAGTGTTCTTTTTGTGAATTGGTGCCCAAAACTGGACTGCATATTCCAGATGAGGTCTTACTAATGATTTGTGCAGGGGTAATATGATATCTCTCTCTATGCCTCTTTTAATACAAGAGAGGATTTTGCTCGCTTTAGAAACTGCAGCTTTGCGTTGCATGCCATTATTAAGCTTGTGATCTACCCCCCCCCCCCCCCCCCAGTATGTATGATGCATGCATATTCTTAACCCCCAAGTGCATACCCTTACATTTATCAACATTAAACCTCATTTGCCACATAGTTGCCCAATTAAACAGTGCATTGAGGTCGGCTTGTAAGTTGAAGACATCCTGTAAGGACGTTATTCCACTGCACAGCTTGGTGTCATCTGCAAAGACTGAAATGGGATTTTTAATCCCAGACCCTATATCGTTTATAAATATATTAAAAAGTAAGGGTCCCAACACTGAACCTTTGGGTACACCACTGACAACCCTAGACCATTCAGAGTATGAATCATTAGCCACTACTCTCTGAATACGATCTTTTAGCCAGTTTTTTATCCATTTACATGCAGATTTTTCCAAGCCCGTAGACTTTATCTTACACATTATCCGTGTGCAGGGAACTGTGGCAAACACTTTTGCAAAATCCCAGTATACCACGTCCACCGCCACCCCTCTGTCCAAGTTTTTGCTCACCTCCTCATAAAAAGAAATCAGATTTGTTTGACAACTTCTGTCTTTCATGAATCCATGCTATCTGTTGCTTAAAATATTTTTTTTTCCAGCAAGAACTCATCTATGTGGTCTTTTATTAAACTCTCCAGTGTCTTACCAACTATAGAAGTTAAGCTAACAGGTCTATAATTACTTGGTAAAGATTTTGATCTTTTTAAATATTGCTACCACATTGGCCTTATGCCAATCCAGTGGTACTATGCCAGTCATTAAAGAGTCCCTAAAAATTAGAAACAATGGCTTTGAAATGATAGAGCTCAATTCTTTAAGGACCCGTGGGTGTATATGCCATCCGGTCCAGGTGCTTTACTCACCTTTATTCTGTCTAAATATTTTTGGATCATATCAATTGTGAGCCAATGTGGATCATCTGGAGCTGTGTCAATACCATGCCCATTATGGACAAGAGCTCCTCCATGCTCCTTTGTATACACAGAGCTGAAGAAGGTATTCAATACATTTGCCTTCTCTTTGTCCCCAGTCACCCACTCTAGATTATTTTGTAAAGGGCCTACATCAGGGGTGGGCAAACTTTTTGACTTGAGGGCCGCAATGGGTTCATATATTGGACCCGGGGGCCGGACCAAGAGTAGATGAATGATGTGTATGTGTCATCCATAGTAAGTATAGTAATATTCCCCCATAGTAAGCATAGTAATTAATCCCCCATATAGTAATTCATCCCCCATATAGTAATTCATCCCCCATATAGTAATTCATCCCCCATAGTAATTCATCCCCCATATAGTAATTCGTCCCCCATATAGTAATTCGTCCCCCATATAGTAATTCGTCCCCCATATAGTAATTCGTCCCCCATAGTAATTCATCCCCCCCTATAGTAATTCATCCCCCATAGTAATTCATCCCCCATAGTAATTCATCCCCCCATATAGTAATTCATCCCCCATAGTAATTCATCCCCCACATAGTAATTCATCCCCCACATAGTAATTCATCCCCCATATTAATTCATCCCCCATATTAATTCATCCCCCATATAGTAATTCATCCCCCATATAGTAAGTCCTCCATATAGTAATTCATTCCCCATATAGTAAGTCCTCCATATAGTAATTCATTCCCCATATAGTAAGTCCCCCCATATAGTAATTCATTCCCCATATAGTAAGTCCTCCATATAGTAATTCATTCCCCATATAGTAAGTCCCCCATATAGTAATTCATTCCCCATATAGTAAGTCCTCCATATAGTAATTCATTCCCCATATAGTAAGTCCTCCATATAGTAATTAATTCCCCATATAGTAAGTCCCCCATATAGTAATTCATCCCCCATATAGTAAGTCCTCCATATAGTAATTCATTCCCCATATAGTAAGTCCTCCATATAGTAATTCATTCCCCATATAGTAAGTCCCCCATATAGTAATTCATTCCCCATATAGTAAGTCCTCCATATAGTAATTAATTCCCCATATAGTAAGTCCCCCATATAGTAATTCATTCCCCATATAGTAAGTCCCCCCTATAGTAATTCATCCCCCATATAGTAAGTCCCCCATATAGTAAGTCCCCCCCCTGTGTCAATTCACTTACCTTTGGTCCGCGCGTTCCTCTCGTATTCCCGCGCCGTTCTGGTCTTCAGGGAGGACTGTGAGAGGAGTTCGTCACGCTGCCCCGCCTACATCCTGGCTGCCCCGCCTACATCCTGACAGCTGCAGAGTCCTGACGTCCGAGAGGAGGGAGGGGGGCGGCCATCCGAGAGGGGGGGCGGCCATCCGAGAGGAGAGGAGGGGAGAGGAGGGGAGGGGAGCGGGCGCCCGGCACACAGGAGAGCCGCATCTAAATTTGTAAAGAGCCGCGGCTTGCCGACCACTGGCCTTGCGGGAGCCTAGCTCCGCGGGCCGGATTAAAAGGTCCGCCGGGCCGTATACGGCCCGCGGGCCGTAGTTTGCCCATTGCTGGCCTACATGCTCGGACCGGATCTTTTTACTATTAATCTATTTGAAGAATTTTTATGGGGTCAGTCCTGCTATCTTTTGCAATCTGTGATAAGTTTTCAATTTTTGCGGCCTTTATTTCCTTTTTGCATATTCTGTTATATTCTTTGTAATGTTTAATCAATGATAGAATTCCTTCATTTTTTTACATTTAATAAAAGCTTTTTTTCTTATTATCTATAGCTTTTTTAACTTTGGCTGTAAGCCACATAGGTTTGATTTTTAGCCTTTAACCACTAGCCTACAGGGCACTTATACCCCCTTCTTGCCCAGGCCAATTTCTAGCTTTCAGTGCTGTTGCACTTTGAATGACAATTGCACGGTCATGCAACACTGTACCCATATAAAATTTTTATCATTTTTTTTTTGTGACAGATAGAGCTTTATTTTGGTGGTATTTAATCACCTGGGTTTTTTATTTTTTCTTAAACCAAAAACCACTGAAAATTTTGAAAAAAAAATGTTTTTTCTTAGTTTTATTTATAAAATTTTTTAAATAAGTTATTTTTATCCTTCACTAGTGTGCGCTAATGAGGCTGCAGTGATGGGCACTGATAGGTTGCACTGATGGACACTGATAGGTGGCACTGATGGGCATTGACAGGCATCACTGATGGGCACTGAAAGGCAGCACTCATATATGGCACTGATAGGTGGTACTGACTGGCACTGATAGGCGGCACTGACTGGCACTGGTAGGTGGCACTGTTAGGCGGCACTGATGCACACTGATAGGCGGCACTGATAGGTGGCACTGATTGGCAGCACTGATAGGTGGCACTGACTGGCATTAATAGGTGGCACTGACGGGTGACACTGAAAGGCAGCTCAGATGGGCACTGAAATGTGGCATTGATGTGGCACTGATGGGCACTGGTAGGTGGCATGGATGAGCACTGACAGCTGGCACTGATGGACACTGACAGGTGGCGCTGCTGGGGCTACACAGATCATCAGGGCACACTGATCATCAGTGCCCCGATGATCAGTGTACATGTCGCCTCTGAGGGATGCCGATTACCGGCTCTCGCCTCCTCTTGAGCTGTCAGTGTGACAGCTCGTGAGGAGAGAAATGCAGATAACCGGCATTTCCCTATTTACATGCGATCAGCTGTGATTGGACACAGCTGATCACATGACCGAGCCGACATCTTCGTACGCACCCCCATGTGCAGTTCCACCCATAATGCTTCAGCCTCATCACACTCTTCATCAACTAAGTCCTCTTTCCCACTCGCTCTGAGATCACTTCTCACATAGAGGCAGACACCAACACCTTTCCTATTTACCATGTCACTCTGAAAGAGAACATAGCCAGGAATATTAATATCCCAGTCATGTGACAAATGAAGCCAAGATTCAGCAATACCAATTAAATCATAGTTCTCTTCATGCACCAAAAGCTTCCAACTCATCTATTTTGCTTGGCAGGCTTCTAGCATTGGTGAACAAACACTTTAATCCATTGACACCTTGTTCACACGTATTTTGCATATTTTTCATTTTCATACAAATGGTAACAATTCCACTGGTTGTTTGTAACATGGGAACCTTCTTATCAACTGCCATATGCTCCACCATCTTTCTCCATTCAACTTGCCAATAAGTACTGACCCCTGTCTGATCTGTCTACTCCGTTATAATCTAATTCACCCTCCCCCCCTTGATCCTAGTTTAAATACTCCTCCAGACTTCCCATAAACCTCTCCCCCCAGCACAGCAGTCCCCTTTCCATTTAGGTGCAAACCATTTCTAGCATATAGATTCCACCCCCAATGAAAAGTCAGCCCAGTGCTCTAGAAACCCAAATCCTTCCCTCTTACACCAGGTCTTCAGCCATGTATTGAGTTCTCTAATCTCCCCCTGTCTTTCCTGAGTTGCGCATGGCACAGGTAATATTTCAGATAATATCACCTTGGAGGTCATTCCCTTCAACTTGCAGCCTAGTTCTTTAAATTGATTCTTTAGGAGCCTCCACCTTCCATGTATTTTGTCATTGGTTCCAACATGGACCAAGACAGCTGGGTCATGCTCCGTCCCTCCCAGTAATTTATCAACTCGGTCCACCACATGCCGAACCCTGGCACCAGGGAGATGGCAGACCATTCGGTTGAAGTGATCCTGGCAACAAATTATTCTTTCAGTCCTTCTGATTATAGAGACCCCTACTACCACCAGCTGTCTAGGGCTTCCTGCACTCCCCTTACCACACCTCCCAGATGGTCTGCCCTTCTGGCTGTTAGGGATAGCAGTGACATCCAGGGCTGCCACCCCTGAGCTTGCCACCCCCCACATCTTCACCCAACTTGGCAAATTTGTTTGGGTGCACAAACACAGGGCCGGCCTTCCTTTTCTGTGAGCCCCTACCACTCCCTATACAGTAACCTATCTTCCTACCTGATAATCCTGATTAGCCCCTCAGCCCTCCACATCAATCCCATTAGCTACCTGCTCAGAGAGCAGATGACCCCTTTCAAGGTCGGTTCTGCCCAGTGTTGCAACTTGCTCCTCCAGATCTCTAACACGAATTTCCAGAAAGGCAACCTGCTCACATCTGTCGCAGCAGTATCCATCCTGGAGATGTTGCTCCATTGCTGCATACATGCGGCACACTGTGCATTGCACAAAACCTTCCACCCTGTTAGCAAACATTATCCCAGTTACAATATCCCAGTTACAGGAAATATCAGTTGTCACTTATAGGTTAGTAGACTCCTGTTATAATCTCCTGTTTTTAACTCTGTTTTTTTTTTTAAACTTCACTTAGTCAAAGGTCCAGCAAGCAAAATACAGGCAAGCTCAAAAATGAGCAAGCTCAAGAGTGAGCTCTACAGCAAGCTATATAGGACCTGTATCACCTGTGACCAATTAACCCCTTCCCTTAATTTGCAGACTGATGGAAGACAAGGAAAGGAAGAAAAAACAAAGCTATTTAAAAAGTGACAGAAAAAGTGATTTAAAAAAGTTAAAGCTTTTAGCAAGACCCAAAAAAGACAATAAAACAACTACAAGCACCAGCAGTCACCAGCAGTCAAAAGTAAAACTTTTTCACTCTCCACTCAAATTTCCCACTTTTTTTAGCTATCAGCCAGCAAAAAATGCCAGTTAGGGGGACAGTTCCACTGTGTCGGGTTCTCCCTAGCTTGCATTCTACTAATGGTTTCCGAGGCTGCTTGTAGCATGCCTGCTAGTAAAGCCAACATCTGCATCCTGGAATTACTACAGTGTATTGAAAAAGTATTTGTACCCCTTGAAATTTTCCATATTTTGTCATGTTACAACCAACAACATAAATGTGTTTTATTGGTATTTTATGTGATAAACCAACACAAAGTGGCACATAATTGTGAAGCAGAAGGAAAATTATAAATGTTTTTCAAAATGCTTTACAAATATCTGAAAAGTGTGGTTTGCATTTGTATTCAGCCCCCTTTACTCTGATACCCCTAACTAAAATCTAGTGGAACCAATTGCAGTCAGAAGTCACCTAATTAGTAAATAGAGCCCACCTGTGTGTAATTTAATCTCAGTATAAATACAGCTGTTCTGTGAAGCTCTCAGAGGTTTGTTAGAGAACATTCATGAACAAACACCATCATGAAGGTCAAAGAACACACCAGACAGGTCAGGGATAAAGTTGTGGAGAAATGTAAAGCAGGGTTAGGTTATAAAAAAAATATTCCAAGTTTTGAACATCTCACGGAGCACTGTACAATCCACCATCCGAAAATGGAAAGAGTATGGCACAAATGCAAACCTACCAAGACATAGTCGTCTACCTAAACTGACAGACCAGGCAAGGAGAGGATTAATCAGGGAAGCAGTCAAGAGGCCAATGGTGACTCTGGAGGAACTGCAGAGATCCACAGCTCAGGTTGGAGAAACAATTCTGGGCTTTATGTAAGAGTGGCAAGAAGAAAGCCATTGTTGAAAGAAAGCCATAAAAAGTCCCATTTGCAGTTTGCGAGAAGCCATGTGGGGGACACAGCAAACATGGAAGAAGGTGCTCTGGTCAGATGAGACCAAAATTTATCTTTTTGGCCTAAAAGCAGAACGCTATGTGTGGGGAAAAAAACTAACACTGCACATCACCCTGAAAACACCATCCCTACCGTGAAACATGGTGGTGGCAGCATCTTGTTGTGAGGATGCTTTTTTTCAAAAGGGACAGAGAAGCTGGTCAGAGTTGATGGGAAGATGGATGGAACCAAATACAGGGCAATCTTAGAAAGAAAACCTGTTAGAGTCTACAAAAGACTTGAGGCTGGGGGGGGGTTCACCTTCAATCAGGACATGACCCTAAACATACAGCCAGAGCTACAATGGAATAGTTTAGATCGATCAAAGCATTCCCATATGTTAGAATGGCCTAGTCAAAGTCCAGACCTAAATCTAATTGACTCTGTGGCAAGACCTGAACATTGCTGTTTACAGATGCTCTCCATCCAATCTGACAGAGCTTGAGCTATTTTGCAAAGAAGAATGGGCAAAAATGTCACTCTGTAGATGTGCAAAGCTGGTAGAGACATTCCCAAAAAGACTTGCAGCTGTAATTGCAGAAAAAGGCGATTCTACAATGTATTGACTCATGGGGGCTGAATACATATGCATTCCACACTTTTCAGATCTTTATTTGTAAAACAATTTTGAAAACCATTTATATAATTTTCCTTCTACTTCACAATTATGTGCCACTGTGTTGGTCTATCACATAAAGTCCCAATAAAATACATTTACGTTTTTGGTTGTAACATGACAAAATGTGGAAACTTTCAAGGGGTATGAATACTTTTTCAAGGCACTGTATATATGCTCTAAGAGTCTGTTCCATCCTCCGAGGCCTCAATGGCTCTGTCCATTGTTGCTGGACACTGTTGTGTGTGGTTTTCCATGATCATGCAGATTTTAAGAGTCTCATCACCCAGATATTCACTGACTCTGATAAGGGGCCACAAGTTCACTCCCATGCCCTCTCTTGCAAATTCTTTATTGACTTGTATATAGCCGTAGAGGCCATTGAGCCATCTAACGCATTTAGACTGCTTTGATTCTGTGTCACTGCACAGTCTTTGACTGGTGAGCTTGACTCTGAGGAGTTGCAGTCTAACTGCTATTACTCAAAATTACAGGAAAATGTTATGCCTCTTATTGATGCAGTTCACACTATGAATCTAGGAGACCAACTTGTTGCTTCCCATGATGCTGCTATGGGTCATTTAATACAGTTAAGGCCACAGAAACATTTCCTACTGTTTCTCTATGGGGATTGAGAACATCTTGACAAGCTGTATGCTTTCCTGAAATTCTTATTAGCCTTCTATCTATTTAGTGGGAATTTTGTGCAGAAGTGGTCTCACTGTAACTACTTCAGCTGCGGAAGATTTACCCCCCTTCATGGCCAGCCCATTTTTTGCGATGCGATACTTTGACAATTGTGTGGTCATGCAACGCTGTACATAAGTGAAATTTATGTAATTTTTTTTCACACAGAGATTTCTTTTGGTGGTGTCTGATCACCTCTGTTTTTTTTTTTTTATTCCAAAAATACTTTATTAATATGAGAATAGACAAGATAGCATATAGAGCATATACAGCTATAGATCACACTCAGAACATAGACATGACATGTCTCCCGTTTCGCAGACGGGACTTATTGTAAACTGTAACACAAGGCCACGTGGAGTGGAACAGTACATCAAGCATACACTACAACCAATGGATACGCAGAGGAAAGTGGATACAGCAATGTAGGTGTATGTTATCACGTCTTGAATCTCAGCATTTATTTATGATGGAGTGATATAAAGATTAGGGTATGGAAGGCACTATATGTTGTGGATGTCGTGGCTTACGTATTTATATCTTGAATGTATGATATAGTTGAGATGAGTCATATCTGTGTGAAGGTAAATGCTCTGTTTGGTTGGTAAAGAATGAATGATAAAGTGGTATGACAGGTGTGGAAAAAGAGAGGTAGGAAAGAAGAACAGAAAGAAAAAGAGATGCAGGATGAAATGGTGGGGGAATACGGAGGAAGGGAGGAAGAGAAAAAAAAAATGTATGGGGGGGGGGGGGGGGGGGGAGGGGAGTAAGAGGTTACGCAGCAGTAGCGTGTATAGGTACTAAAAAAGCTAAAATGGAGCACCTCCCCATGTATTAGCCAAGCCAGAAAGGTAATTATAAAGCTTAGACTATGGTATGTGTAAGATCGGA